GATTTTAGACAAAGAAAATACCCCATCCCCCCGCCCAAAAAATCCCCACTTTGCATCTCTTTAAACATGTCATTTAAAAACCAACAGATGCGTTGGCTTTATCTCAAACACATGACAAAAATACTAAGCATGACTTTTCTTGTGAAATGGGGCCAGCACTGGTTAAACTGGTTTTGCCTTTAAATTGTTACAAACATGCAGTTTGAAACTTGTAGATTTCTTTGCCAGGGGCCTGTGGGTAATTACAGTAAACATGCAAATCTGCAGCGAAGCAGCTAAGTTATTTTGCCCAAAGCAAATATTTAAAAAGTGAGTGTTCCCCTGACGGTGAGTCTCCGCTGATCAGCCCACTCTGAGGAAAAGACTCATGCAAGCACAAACCAAACGAGTCAGTAACAGTTGGATACGTGTACTTTATTCATATCTCATATATGTTTCTTTACATTTATACAAAAATACAGAAAACAGTAGAGTTTTCACCCAGAATACCAACCGGGCAATAATTACATTTGCTTTTTGGCACCCAGACTTATTTCCTGCCTAGAGCCATTAGATTCGCCCACTGAGGTGGGATGGGTTGGATCACTCGAGCCTGAAAGCACTGTTCAGGATGCAGCTCTGCTCGCTGTCAGACCCACACAGGATCAGTATCTCAGGGCGGTCACTCTCTTGACTGATGCATGAAGTTGCCCTGGACGTACAGACCGACTGTGGGTCTCACATAGACAGGAAAATGGGAGACCATGTTTTTTTTTTGTTCACAGCTTAGACCTGTTGCAGCTCATGATACTCAGACTACGTATAAAAAGCAACTTTTGACAGAGTATACCTTGTTTGTTAGTTTGGATGTGGCTAAACTAGCCTGTGTGAGAATACTGGGGACTGTACGAGATAGTCTTGATGTAGAGAAACCTAAAGATGATTGATGTCAAAGTCTCAGGTCTAGACTGTCAGAGATGATAATTCACTGCAGTGTTGTTCAAAAATGCATTTTTGAATAAAAATATTCAGCTAAAAGCTTTTAAATAACTTTACCACACCAATAATTTCAGATACTCAGCCCGTTTTTATTTGAAAGTCGTCAAATACCACCACCTTGTCAGTGATTTCAGCGTCAGCCAAAGCTGCCTTTCGTGTAGGGCTGCCACGATTAGTCGACTAATCGATGACTAATCGACTATTAAAATAATCGGTGACTATTTTAGTAGTCGACTAATCGGTTTGAGTCATATTTCATAGAAAAGCACTTTAAAAGTACCCCAAAATACTCTTACTGCAGCTTCTTACGTTCAGATATTGGCAGCTTTACACACTCTCCTGTGACAGTGAACTAAAACCCTTTGGCGTGAGTATGAAACAAGACATTAGATGATGTAATTTTGGGGTTTGGGCGAGACAGACCAACATTTTTCAACATTTTAACACACTTTTCGATGAAATGATTAGTCAATGAAAATAATCGTTAGCGGCAGCCCTACTTTCGTGGCTTTGTGATATGCCGTATGGCAGCGACGACTTGTAACGCAGCCAGACGTAACCGCTTGCGGTGTTATTATATTCCAGCTGTTGTCTGGATGGCACCTGTAGAGGCAGCATGATATGCGGACAGGTGGCATCAGCTCGTAACGCAGCCCTACGGCACTGGTCCCAGTAGTATGATATGCAGCTGGATGGCATCAGCTTTAAACACTGTAACAATGTTATATAATCAGGAGGAAAGTCCCCATGGGGCAGGTGGGAGAGGCAGTGGATGAGTTCAACAAACCTTGGACTTTCATCCAGGAGCCCGTTGTTTGCTTTACTTATGTATGTAAAGCCAAACCAAGCCTTAACCTAACCACGTGTTTTTGTTCCCTTAATGGTACCATGAGCATTTTACATTCCAGCGTTGGTTGACGCGTCCCTGAACGTCACCAGTAGACGCAGGATGATACCTAGCGTGTAATACGTACACGTGAAGGTCCACTGACAAAGCGGCGATATGCGACGACTTGCTTGAGACCAGTCAGATATTCCTGCTAACGGTGCTGCTGCGGCAGACGATATGGACACCAATGAGGTATATTGGTTCTAACACAGACTCTAAGGTGCCATAGACAAATGGCACAGATGACACGTTGCTAATTATGTTTGTCAAAAATGCATTTTTGAAAGACTAAAATGATCTGGCAGTTCAGCATAAACAATACCACACCAAAGAGTTCCAGCTAATGATGCTGAAAGGTACTGTTGCTCTGAACTATATGAACACCAATGTGGTATACGTTTTTTTTTTTCAAACACAGATTCAATTTTGCACAATATACTCCTCCTCCTATAAGAAAAAATTCCCAACATATAAAATACACATGAAACAAGCAGAGTTCCCGGTCGAACTGTTTCCTAAAGGTTACAAAGGCTAACATGTAACGTGCGGACAGAAATGTCACAACCACTGCAGTTTATTTTCACATACTGAAGCACTGCTTTTCCAGAAAACTGTCCTCCAAATCATAACTAGGCACAGGTCAAGCCAACTAAACTGTCATGAGTTAATACAAAAACAAAAAACAGAGAGGGTCGGGGTCGTATCTGTTGGGTTATTATGGTGAGATTATTCTACTCTGCCCACTTTCTGCTACCACACAGAAACATAGACAGGCTGTTACACACACAGTCAATCACACTAATCAAACAAGGCACAGAACCAAGAATGGACATGGTACAATGTAAGACCACAGACATGATAGAAATACTCAGACTACATACAGAAACAGATGTTTGTGTCCTGCCACTTTGTCTCTGTCAGCTATCCGCAGCAGGGCGGCCTGATGGGAAAGGTCACAGCCAGCGTGCCCTGTTCACACTCCTACCTCTACACTGATTGTCTTTAATCATCGCCAACCTAACACCTAAATTAGGGCTGGGCAATATATCGTAGTGATGTCACATGAGACCAGATATTGTCGATTTTGGATATCTTTTCCTGGTTTGAAAGGCTGCATGACAGTAACATGATGTAAGTTTCTAAAGTTTACAGACCGTTCTGCGTAAGCATAACCCATGTATTTTGGAAGGCTGGGACCAATGAGCTGATGGGAGTAAAGGAGGAGGAAGTCCCGAGCAGTGCAGTTAGGAGACAGGTTAGGTTAGAAAATACAGGACTTTCTCTGAGGACACTGGTGTTCAGAACCGAGTGTGAGTTATTTTAAGAATGTCCTCACAATGTTTTTCCTTAAACTAACAACAGTGACTTTACTTACCTAAACCTAACATCTTTACATTAAGGACGTAATGTCATTTGTGGGGTGCTAGTTCATAGGATATCAAACAAACCACTGTATGAGGACATGTTGGCTGCGGACAGGTGAGTCGGTGGTTGTCGAGCAACAATAAAAGAAACACAACAAGCTGCAAAAGCGCTCTGTCTGATTGAGGCCTTGGTCATGATATCCTCATTACTGATCAAAAATCTCATTGTGGAAATATTTTGTGACAGCACCGACAGTCTACCCTACAAAATGGCTGCATTATTGACATCAAGGTTTCTGGTCACAAATATGGTAACACCTGATTTTCATGGTATTGCCCAGCCCTTTCTAGAATCCATCATTAACCTGCCGTACTTTGTGGGAGCCTCCCCTGTTTACATTTTTTAAATTCTTTGCCTCTCTTCACACCTCTGATAAGATCTGCTATCACTGAGAGAAGGAGCAACCCCAGCTCCGAAACTTATCTGATGTGAGAATGCATAACAAGAGGCAGGGAGGGGCCCGCGGATTTAATATGTGAATGAGCCTGAGGGCTTCTGCAATTGCTGTTGCCAGATACATGTCAGTTTAACAATGTCACGTCAACTGATTGGGTCTGACTACCAGTTCAATGATCTCCTGCCGTTCACATGGATCTATGTACACCCCAGAGAAACAACTCTAAACGTCAGCACGCTTCTTTGAAAAGAAGAAAAAAAAAAAACAACTTTTAGAAGTTACACCACTGTGAGACAGTTCAGTATGTGAAGGAGATGACGGTGCACTTCCTCTGACAGTGTAATACGGCGCAACTTTAAGGCAAAATTGATACTTAGGTCTGCACGGCATTCCCATGTGGCGAGCTTTGTGGACTGTGACAATAACTAAGGTGCATGTTTGCAAATTTCATCAACAGTGGAGTAATCCTTCAGCATTTCATCATCAAATTTATGTCAAATTTATGGGTTTTATTATGCAAACACAACACTGATACTGGACAAAGGCAGAGTCAGTAAGAACAGATTAAACCATAAGTGTGAACAGTCCAAGCTAATGGGCTCGATTCATATTTAGTTGTTAAGTAAACAGGCAGAAATTGATTGCTCAAATTAAAATGTTAGATTATACAGCATTTGTATATCAATTTTATTTTCGTACAAACTGTGTTACTTGCTTTTTAAAAAATTTAACGATATAGTTTCTCTTCCTTTTTTAGAGGAATGGCCGTCAAAAATCTCCCCTGTAACAGTTTTGCTTCACAAGCATAAAAGGTGAGATCAGTACAAAAAATAAAGGCATTGTTGAGCTAAAATTTACGATGGGAGGCCCATTTCACACGCATCTAACACCGAGGGTGCGTTCGTAAGTCCAGTACACTAAAATGAGAGTGCTGTTGTTCAGAGTAACAGAGCATTCGGTTTCTATGTGAATTAACTAACGGTTAAATTAATCACATGTTCACTCCGCTCAGCGCTCTGCTGCTCCGAGAGTGTAGTGTTCTGAATATGCGAACGGTACTCTCCAACAGCGCTCCAAATTTCTGTGTAGTCCAGTTTGTGCCAGTGCGCCCTGGTACTCAGAGTCTTTCCGAACGCACCCCTAATTTTCAAATTTCAAATAAAATCCTGGATCCACAGGAGTCATCCCTGAAGCACGTTAGCAGAATGTCATTGCAGATTTCAGTGGTCTAAATGAAAGTTAGTCAAAGCAGCATATTCTGTATATATCTAT